ATGAGGGCAACAAATGTATAGATGTGCTTTACACAATTGATTTATGTATTGTGATGAATTGTATGCGCCCCAATAAATTGATTAAAAAAAAAAAAAGATTCCAGATGCTATTCTTTGTGATAGATGGGCATCACCTGCTTTCTTCCCACACTTGCTGTGCACCCATGTCTTCAGTGATCTCTTCATAAGTATTGTGTAGGTAGGACCACATCATAAAAACTAATTATTCTTAGATTGGGCCAAGAATTAAGTGTGAGCCCCAAATCCATTCATAATTCTATGGTTTGTATATGTCTCTAGTTCACTTTAGAGGCATCATTATCGTTTTATGATGGAGAATATTATAAATCATCCCCTTGGGGCTCAAAGTAATTCTGTTTATAGTGTCATTAATATAGCCAATGGTATAGATTTAAAACACTGTTTAGAAAAGGAAGTTATACATGTATAGGCCAGATTTTCAGACTTAAATTCATGAATTGTACAGATAAAACATTTATGTCACTGGACACTATTTACATGAACAATAGAAGTTGGTGATGGGGCAAAACTTTCAACAACACTCATTAACAAAGGCAGAACCATGCCAACATACTTATATATGTCATAAGAAAGCAAGAGAGCATTAAAATAGCCAATATATGGTAGTCCAGGCCACTATTCATTGGATACCCTCAAAGCAAGAGATCCAAACCAAAGTCCAATAAGCGCCAGTTTCATAACTTGGGATGGCAGTCATCTGCCTTTTCTCACCTTAAGTCCAAAGGAGTATGTCGGCTCCTTAAGTCTGCTACAGGGGCGTGTGAGGTAACACCCAGTTTTCTCAGTGGGATTTCCACATCTAATCTTTCTGGTATGGCCTCTGAAGGAAGTTGTGCACCTCGAAAGGACAGAGCCTAAATTATTTTTAATAGTTTTTTTTTTCATAGGCCCAGTCAGACTGCTTAATTTTTTGATGTGTAGATTCAAAAAGAAAGAGAACAAAGGAAATTTATTTTAAAAGTGAATTTTTCACGATTTAAGTAGTACTTCAACTTTTAAATTTTTATGTGAACATACACAAATTCTCTTTACATATCATGTGCCAATATTTACTTAGTAATGGCCATAGGGAAAGAAAACAGTTTCACTTTTCTCCTCTTAACTCTTTGTGACACAATCTGTAAAAATAAACCGCACAATAGACATTTTGAAGTGATAATATTCTGGAAATTATTAAGAAATGGCTTCTCATAATTACTAGATTAATCTCTATACTTTTTTTCCTAAAGGCTTGTTTTCTCTGCTATTGCTGTTTTATTATGTTACAGTGTGTTTATATTGTCTGCCTTTTGATTTCATTGCTTTAAATAATACATTTACTTCTGTTCTTGCTTGGTAACTCCAGACACTTTGATATAGTCCTTTTCGGTACTGTCTTGACTTCAGATGCTCATGAGGAATCTGAAATCTTGTGTCTGTTCCTTATATATGTATATAGCGTTAAGAAGTTACCACATGAGCCAGACTATGCTTACATTTACATTAAAAAATTAATACCTAAGAGAGAAGGGTCTAATAAGAGCCCGTCCAGAGTTTTTTGACCCCTGTTTGAGGGACTTCATTTTATCTAAGATTAAAAAAAAATTGGAAAGTACAAGAGAGTAGAAAAAGAAGAAAACTATCCACAGTTAAATGCATCTCTTCCTCCTACCATACCCATTTTTCATATTGTGACATAGATGAAGTGCAGTTAAAGTCTCTTTTTGATTCTTGCATGTTTTCAGGATACATCTGTATTCTTTTCACTTACTTTGACTTCTTTTCCTTAATGATAGTGGGAAAGCTTACTTTGCTAGATTTCTTGTGTGATAGAAGACATAGACTTCACGACCTCTGTGTTGTCATAGGGAATAAAGAAGCGAAGACGCCTTGTAGATGTTGTATGTGTTACCTCTTCCTAGTTGTTACTGCTGTACCCAGATAATGGATTTGGTTTATTTCTAAGTTATCCAAGATCTCTTTTCAGCATGACTTGGTTGACTTAGAAAATTCTTTTTACTAGCTTGGTGAATTGTGTCTTGACTTCTGATTTCAGAGGAACCCTGCTGGGGCAGTGGATTAAACAATGGGAATGGTAGGCCATGGATTGGTGGTTCAAACACATCAGCCACTCCATCTGGGAAAGAGGAGGCTGTCTGTTCCCATATAGATTTATAGTCTCATAAACCCTTTGAAGTTATAGCTGTACTCTGTAGGGTCGCTGTGAGTCGAAATCGACTGGACAGCAGTGGACTTAGTTTGATTTCAAGATGTATGTATTTTGTTCTTTTAATATTCTTTTACTGATTTAAACCCTCCAGGAAAACAACTTTGATAATCTTGATTTTGATTTGGATTTGATGCTTTGGGACTCAGACATATGGGACATCAATGACCATTTTCGTGCAGGTAATGACGTGGTTCATTGGGGAAAACTTTAATAAATGGATTTGTTGTTGGCTGTTGTGTAACTGATACTCAAAATTAAGAGGAATTATTGGGCTAGTGTAGTAGGTTAAAGGATTCCAGGGACTAAGTGCTCCACTTCTGTTATGGCAGTGCATAGATAAATTTGTTGTCAGAATGGACAGTAAACATTTCCTAGTTGTGTTTTAGTACTATAATGAATAAAGAGTTCATACCAGAAATAGAAATGTAGATTTTGAATTATAAATAACATTGCTGTACAAAGTTTACTTACCTGCAAACCAGAGTTCATGGACAAATCCCATTATTTTTCAATTCCAGTTTTCTACTAAGTTTTTGAGACCTCCTCTTATACATATATATCTAATTTATTAGAATGGAAGTTTATAGATATACCACTTTACATCTTGCCTTTTTCACTTAATATATTTTGATGAGTTTAGTTTCCATTTGTGATGGACATATAAGAGTAGATTTTCCCTTCTTTCTTGTTTATTTGAATTTGAATTTATACTGTCCAATGGGGAAAAATGTTTATTCCATGTTTTTCAATTAAAGACATTAAACTGGAACCCCAGCCACTTTCTCCATCTTCTTCAAGTTGTTCAGTGTCTTCCCCTCAGTCTGTGGACTCTTACTCTTCAACTCAACATGTTCCTGTAAGTAGCCGGGCTTTTATAATGATTTTAGCTATAATGCTATCTGGGAAATATTAATCAGGAGATTGTTAATATTTATTAGGTGTGTACTATGGGCAGGGAACAGTGGGGGTTCAGTGGGAGAATTCTTACCTTCCATGTGGGATACCCAGGCTCTATTCTCAGATAAAAACAAAACAAAAACCAAACTCACTGCCATCGAGTCAGTTCTGACTCATGGTGACCATATAGGACAGGGTAGAACTACCCCTGTGGGTTTCTGAGACTAACTCTTTATGGGAGTAGAAAGCCCTGTCTTTCTTCCGAGGAGCTACTGGTGGTTTTGAACTGCTGGTTAGAAGCCCAGAGTGTAATCACTATGTGACCAGGGCTCCATTCTCAGATATTATACCATAAATGTAGATACCACCCTTCAGTCAGTGGAAGCTTATGTGTTGCTTGAAGCTAGTAGTTTCCAGTGGAGCTTCCAGACCAAGATGAGCTAAGAAGAAAAGGCCTGATGATCTACATTCCCAAACCAGCCAGTGAGAGCCCAGTGGATCACAGCAGCCTACTCTTGTGGAGTTGCCATGAGTTAGACGTCCGTTCAATGGGAGCTAACCTCTACAACACCGAGCTCTTTCCTCCAAGCAAAAGCGTTTCTTATATAGTCACATTACAACCACCTAAATTAGGAAACAAACTTCGGATCCATTTGAGCCATCTAACTCATAACTTCCCAAATTTGTTTGGCCTACTGCCCCCCTTCCAGGTAAACTATTCCTTACTGCCTCCATGGCAATGCAGCGGTTTAGTGCTGCAGCTCATACATAACCAACCAGACTCTGCCATCGGGTCCATGCCTGTTCATCGCAGCCCGACAGTCCAGGGGAGAACTACTCCTTTGGGTGTTCAAGACTATAACTCTTTACGGGAGTAGCAAGCCCCACTTTCTCTCGAGGAGCAGCTAGTAAATATGCTGCCCAGGACCTCTTTAGAGGTGTTGAAAGCAAGCTTGTTTTACTTTGAGGACTAATGTTTGCCTGAACCAAGTCATGGTATTTTCAATCATCTCATCTGCTGGACTTCTCAAAGTTGGACATTGAATAAGGAATACCAAAGAAGAATTGATGTATTTGAATTATAGTTCTGGTGAAGAGTATTGGAAGTACCAGTGGGCTGATAAAAGAGCAAACACATCTGTCCTAGAAGAAGCAGTTAGGGATGCTCGTTAGAAGCAAGGATGGCAAGACTTCCTGTCATGTACGTTGGACGTGTTATCAGGAGAGAGCCATCCCTGGAAAAGGAGCTCTTGAGAAAGCACAGGGGCAGTGAAAAAGAAGAAGCCCCTCCGCAGGATGAATGGACACAGTGGCTGTGACAAGGGGCTCAACCTAAGAACAATTGTGAGGATGGTGCAGGAGCAGGTGGTGTTTCATGCTGTTGCTGCTATGAGTTGGAACCTACTCTGCGACACCTCA